CCCCCCCCCCCCCCCCCAAATTAAAAAAAAGAAAAAACAAGCCCCCCCCCCCCCCCCGACCTCTCTCCTCCGCACCCACCCTCTGCTGCAGCTCCTCCGCCGCCGTCGCCGGCGGCCCAACGAGCCTGGTGCTCCCCCTGGCGAGGGTCCGCAAGACCGTCAGGCTCGACCCTTCCGTGGGGAACATCTCGAAGGAGGGCTTGTTGCTCGTCACCAAGGCCACGGAGGTCTTCATGGCTGTACTGGCGGACCACGCGTGGAACATCGGGAGACAGGTGTGTGTGTGTTCGTTCGCTGCTGCTATTGTCGTTGTTGTTGCTGTTATTGTTGCTGTTATTGCTGCTGCTGCTGCTGCTGCTGCTGTTGTTGTTGTTGTTCCTGCTGCTGCTGCTGCTGCTGCTGCTGTTGTTGTTGTTATTGTTGTTCCTGCTGCTGCTGCTGCTGCTGCTGCTGTTGTTGCTGTGGCTGTGGCTATTGCTGTTCTTGGCGATGTTGGTGGTAGTGATGGTTGCAGCGGTAGTGTTGTTGTAGGAAATTAATTTGTTAATTTGTTATGTTGTTATCGCTGTCGCTATCATTGTCGTAATCGTCGCCGTAGTTTTCATTGTCGTCATCGTTTCTGCTGTAATCTTCGTTGTCTTCACTCATTGAACATTGCGACTTCTCCCATCCTGCTCTGCCCATACTCCCTCTCCCCCCTTTCCCCCCTCCACCTCACCGTGCTATCCCCAAGACCGGACGCAAGTCCGTAAGGCCCTGCGACGTTGCCGACTTCGTTTTCGCGGCTCCGGAGATGTACTGGCTTAAGGACGAGTTCCGTGAAGAACGCAGGTAGGGGCCGATTCAATCAAGCTTAAACGTTACAAGTAGTTGTAGCTGATAATGATCGCCTCATTGGGGAACTCCCTCTGTAAAGGTTTGTTGACCTTGGAAGCTTTCTGCTGTCCCCCCTTCGCTCGTTTTTTCACCTCAAACTTGCACCCTGCTTCCGTAGCACACACGACTGCAGTTGCAGTGCGAGGGAAAAACACGACACGCTTTCATACGCCGCCACCGCTCGCGCGGGACCTTACAGCGCTGACGTATTTAGTGCATAGCGTGACGGGTATGGCGGCGACGAAACAAACCCGAGCCGTGCGAGGTGTGCAGGACATCGTTTCCTCGATTTTCCAGTAGACGTCCGACCCGTTCCGAAATTTTTCGTTGTGCGACAATAATTTGCATCCGTCTATCTTGAACAATAGCAGTGACGCTATTTAGTAGCATGTTGCTGTTGCTGTTGCTGTTGCTGTTATCCCCCAATCGATGAGTTTCATGCGTCAGTGCTTCATCTGCTGGAACGGGGTACGCTAAGTTACTGATCATTCTTCGACTTCCTCGAACACCGCGACGTGGTTGTCATCTAACGAAAGCCCGTCCCTCATAGGTCCCTACCCCCCTGAAACCTCAAACCATCAAACGCTTCGTCCCCTCGAGGACGCGTGGTCAACGGTCTAGCCGCGAAGGCATGCACAACATGAGCACGCCCCCCTCCCCCCTCCCCCGCCCCTCAAACCATCGCCCAGCTCTGTGAAGAAGAAGCAGAGCAGGCCGGAGGCGGGCGGCGCGAAGGCCGCCGGGGCAACGAAGGCAGGAGTCACCGCTGTCCCGAAGGGAGCAAAGCCCATCACTTCTTTCTTTCAGAAAGCATAGTTGCGGCGGCGGTGGTGGTGGTGGTGGTGGTTGTGAAGATCTGAACGTCTTTCTTTCGGGAAGCATGGGTGTGGCAGCGGTGATTGCGAAGATCTGGTCAGGACGTGTGTGGATTGTCGTGACGTTACTGCTGTCACGACTCATGCTCTCCTTGGCGTACCAGTGGCGGCTGGTGTTGCTGATGCGTACTGCGGAGAGAAGAAGCCTCTCGTCCTGGTAACCCCCTGCCACTCGATCAAAGATTTGCTGTAGTATTTCGATGCCATTTGCGACCCCGGCTGATACATCAAACGTATATACACCGAGGGGTGTGTAGACTGGAACCAGCGAAAATGGGACGAACACGCACACATAAGTCTTGACCAGGCAGCGTTCGTAGAACACGCAGTAGTATTCGCGTAAGATACACGGGAGGCGAAAGCCAGGCCCTTGTTACACGTGTGTCGGAACGATTTTTCCGTTGGCCGACAGCGGGGTGGAATCTGTGAAGTGTGCTTCGCTCGATCATGTGTCGCCCCACCTGCGGTAAAGGTTAAGGTTGGTGCCGTCGCCGGAGGTCCTAAGAAGTGAGAAGAGGTGGCGCAGAGGGCTCGGGGTGATCTTGTTTTGCGACTTTCCGGTAGGAACCAATTTTTTCCTTAGGAGGTGCATACTGCGGTGGGCCTGAAGCAGGGGCTCTTTTCAGTCCTCCCTTTTCACACCTTTCGGCAGGTCGGGGGGGGGGGCTCGGGGGGCGACGACGCGTACACGAAGATGGTTTCAGCCAAAACGGAGCTTGCTTCCCTGTAGAAGCTGCATCTCCCGCCAAACCTAAATTCCGTGACACGACCTATTGTACCGTTTAAATGCATGTTCTCAAATGCTGGGTTATCCGCCTGATAAACCGATCGATGGCGCTGGCCGAAGGTGTCTACAGCAGGACCAAAGAAAGAAACAGGTGTGTTGGGCGGTTCGTGTGTCTACGCCACCACCTCTTAGTCGCTTGCCTGGCGTAACCAACCGCCGTAGGAAAAGAGATTGCTTAACCGCTTGTCGTGGCAATTAGTCGCGCGCCTGTTGTTTCGACACGCGCGCGACATCCACCGCGAGGACTGATGTCGACACGGTCTTTGATTGGTGCAAGTCTAAATTACTTCTCACCATGACGCCACCACACAGCTCACGTGCAGCCTGTCAGATTGGTAGTATAGTAAATAGCGTTCAATCTACCCCAT